ATAATTATAAAATTTTATAGTAAAATTTTATGATAAATTTGATAGAAAATATAAAATATAAAATTCATTAAATTATTATAAAAAAACTTTTAATTGTAAATTATCTGAAATTAACCTGCACCTTTTTTTTATAATTTTTTTATTAGTAATTTAATTTATTAATTTTCTAAGTTTTAGTTCATTTCAAAATGAGCAATTACAAATAATTCGAACAATATGAATTCGAAGAATTCAAATTAAATTCAAACCGAACATAAACACTCCGAACGAGTCTATTTCAAGCAAATTTAATTTCAAAAGAGCCAAACACAAAAAAGAGCTCGATTCGCTCATGTTCGTTTCGTTTCGTTTACACCTCCACGGACGGGCTAAACTTTTCGGGCTCGCTACAAATTTAATTTCAAACAAGACAAACACGAACAAAAACTCTATTCGCTCATGTCAGTTCATATACACCTCTACTAACGTGGTAGACTTTTCGGCCTAGCTTGAGACAAAATGTCAATATATTCTTCGAGATTTCTCAAGGCTCACATCCATAAATTTTTGGTGGAATTGTAACTCTAGTTCAGCCTTTTCCTCGCCTCACTCGTCAATAGTAGAATAACCCCTCTTCATGGACAGATGAATTTACATCGAACCGCGTAAATCAGGCGTTAATTGCTTGTTTATTGTCTGATTCTGTATTCCCCATTGTTTTATACAATAAGCTCTCAAGGCAAGTGTTAAATATCAAACTGTGAATCTATCCTGAAGACCAACAGAACATGTTTGTTCCCTACAAACTCAGGAAGTTGTATCTTTCAAAATCAAAGCCAACTGCCCATCACACACTTAAAATTGTTCAAAATGAATAGAATTTTGTTGAATTTTGAAAAAATAGCGATAAAAGAGTACTTATTTAAGCTTTTATCAAATTCTTATTGTTATCATATTCTCATATAAAACATATTTATTATTTTTAAAATATAAAAAAAAATATTTTAAATCATTAAAAAAACAAAGCAGAGATAGTATTAAAAAACAAATCTCAAAGCAAAGGAAGGTCAACCGATCCCCTACACCGAATCCACTCGGCTTGAAAAACCAGAAATCAAATATACTTTCTTTTCAAAACTCTTGAGCTATTTACACCTCACCCCACTCCCAAAGGGTGAAAAACATTGTTAATTCGATTAAAAAAAACTGAAGATGGCACAAAAGTAAAATAAATAATCTAGAAAAAAACGAACGGCTCAGATCACGCGTTGCTGATCCAAAACGAGCGGCTTGGAATGGATGTGTTCCCCTTCGTAGGTGACGATAAGCATCGAAGGTTCATCCGTAGCGCGCTCCACGTGCTTCCTCGCCGGACAGCCTCGCACGCCGCTACACTTGTAATAACCCCTATGAGAAAGAAGAAGGTAAGATTACCCCCACAATCAAAGCCGTTAAATCACCATCGTAGGGATGGATGGAAAAAACCTACCTGGGGTACGGCGAGCCTTTGATGGGTTTCTGCCCATACTTCCGCCATGAATACTCATCCGACGGAATATCAGCAATCTTTGAGCTAATCGCCGGCACGCGAATCACGGACTTAACGCGATTCTTCCTGCAAGAAGAAGAAGAATAAGATACAGTTCGGCGGGAATCGGGGATATGATAGCAATGGTGATGATTTGGGGGCGTACATGCGCTTAGTGCAGTGACAACGGCCGGCGCCGGAGATATCCTCCGGTTGAGCATGTTCATGGCAGCGCTTCCTCATGGCCGCAGAAGACAGAGGGGGTTTTCCGGCAGCAGATGGGTGGTGGACGGAGGACGATTGGCGGCCGTACGATACGCTTAGGTCTCCGGTAACTGATGAAATAAACGAGGAATTTGCTGAGGAGATCGGCCTTGATTTGGAGATGGTGAAGCTTCTCTTGTCAGCGGTAAAAGGGATTTCGTTCAGGGTTTTTCCGCTGGGGTTGGTTTTGTTGAAATCGAGCGGTTGGATGATGGGGGTTTCGGGATCCATCGGCGTTGATGGAGGCGATGGAGACGGCGGTGTTGGGCCTCGGCGGAAGCGTGCGTGACCGGTGCGATTGAGAATAGAGACCATCTTCTTGAACTTAGACACGGTTTGATCCGTGATTTCTCTGCAATCGATTTGCCTCGCGGCCATTTCTGGGGAGATCCGAGCTAAAGTTGAAGCCGAAGACGTATGGTATTGGTTGAGTTGGAAAATTAGGTTTTCCATGCTCCGAATCCCGGCGATCGCCGCCTCCTGAGCTGAAATCTTGTCCTCCATCTTCGTGTATCCGATTAGATCAACAGCCATGTTGATTCAGAGCGGTTGAGGAGGAGATTTTGGGGTGGAGGAGCAGAGGGTCTGGTTTTATAAATATAGATGCAGAAGAATGGAAGTCGCGGGAAGGAGGGAGAAAATAGTCAAAAGGAAGCACTGACGGATGGACGGTCTGGATTACATCACAGACCACGTGATGCGCGAGGGCAAGTGAAAGGTTCGGTCAGACCTTTGGAATTTGTCTGAATTCTTTGGCCGTCCGATTGCTCAAAGTCTTGGATACCGGGCCAAATGCTGACCGTCTGATGGATAGTAGACTCGTGATTTTGCCCCTACACGGCCGGCAATACGACTAACTTTAAGGTCAACTGGTGGAACTTCGGTGTCTTTACTTTAATTTTTTATTCGCCAATTAATTTAAAATTTTAATTCATTTCACATATAAAAATATATTGTAATTTAATATCATTATTTGTAACTAATTGCTAAGAAATGCCTATTTTAACACCATGACCAAGTAAAAAAAATTCTAAAATGGGGTACAAATTAATTTTTCCTATTTTTTTTTTAATTTTTCTTTTTTTTAAATTGGATATTAAAAATGATAAATTATATAATGATGAAGAAAAGTTATGATTTATATGATATTGGTCTACATATTCAAAAAAAGTGAGGATTAGATTACGATTATTAATATTTAGTGTTAGAGTCAATAGCTAGAAAATGAAATGATATAAAATATGGGGAGGCATGAGACTTTGGAGCATGACTCATCTTAATAGTTTTTTTTTTTTTCTAGAGAAAATAAATTAGGGCATGGGTGAATTTAATATGAATCTTATTTTTCAGGACAAAATATTCCTTCAAGACGTCCATATATCTGGACGGCTAACCATCGGCACCGCAACTTACACTGCAGATTCTTGACGCACATTGCAAAGTGACAAAAAAGTTTTGTAGTACAACACGCCTCAAATATTGTACATCAACGACCACCGATGACGGTGTAGTAACATACCCCACATGCAACATAATGATGTCTTTCAAAGACGATGTAATAATGCTCCCTAATACAGTGCAATGACACTACTTGATAATGATGTAACAACGCACAGAGACCTTGAATATGGTGTAACAATGCATTTGAATAAGGTGCATACTTCAATAACAGTTTAACAAACTACCCCACATATGACGCAACGACATTTTCGAAATATGGTGCTATGACACACCCCGATTATGGTCTAACAACACACCCCACATACATCACAATGATACCTCCTAAAGACGATGTAACAATGCCCCCGATTAGGAAGCAATGACATGAATCGTTAACGGTGTAATAATGTGAACCCTACATGTGAGGGTTGACTTCTCCTGAAGATGGTGTAAAAATGCACCCCAAAGATGATGAATTTCTCCAGACTCTTAAAGCTCCCTCCTAGCTACCGACTCTGATTTTTCTGGCTTATAGAAGTCACATCACAACTCACAACTACAATTTAGATGGCTAATAATGACCTATATGGCCAACTATGGTCTATTTGATTCACAACTCATGCAACTGCTGACTCCGATCCTTGCGACAAATGGATATCATCACATCTTACCACTACAACCTTCGTAATTAACTACGATCTACGTGGTTTACAACTCATGTAGCTCGTTACTCTGACCAAGATCTGTGGCCTACCAAATTCATCATAGCTCACCGGGATGGTCTATATGATTAACTACAACTTACACGGTCCACAGCTCGTGCAGCTCCTGACTCCAGCCCCCCTGCAACCTACGAACGTCATCACAACTCACCACTACAACACACTTGACTAACTATGACCTACGAGAGCAAATACGACCTTCATGGTCCATAGCTCCTGTAGCTCTCGACTCCGGTCTTTGTGGCCGCGTCATCACAACTCATTGACGCGACCTGCGTGACCAACTAAGACCTAAATGACTCACAGCTTCCACAACTTCCTACTAAAGCCTCTATGACCAAGCAACGCTCATAAATCGACCATTTGCGACCCAAACCACCTACTACTACCACTACTTTCAACTACGACTTATACGAGAAGCTGGGGTTAAAACCACCACCTCCAAGGTTCATGCTGGACTACACCATCCATTTCAATCGAATACGTCCCTTACAACCTCTTATCAATTAGAACTATATTCATTACATTAAGACTATTAGTATTATCGATGAATTATTGTCATAAGGATTAATTTAATAATTTTATTTTTCTTAATGTAACTAAGGAGTGAACATGTGGTGAATTATTTTAAATAGATTAGGCTCTGTATTTTTTTTCTTTTTTTCAAATTTTCTTTTGTGCAACGATAAGCAAGTAATTTGAAGCAAAATATTAAATAATGACTATTAAAAATATGAATGCATAAAATTCTATGACATTTATTTAAATAAGAATTAAAGAAAAAAAATGTAACGGAGGAAAAATTATTCCATACGGATCGGACACAGCCACCCA